AGCGAATGAGGCCGCCATTGTGCTAGCCGAGGCTGCTCGCAACGGAGAACAACTCGACTCGCAAGGGAGGCCACGCCCACTCTACCACAACCTCGATGATGAATTCATCCATGTCGACGGCCATGATGTCTACAAGACCCCAAGCGCCAACTTGGCCATGGCCGCTAATGAGCTCGCTCGGCTCGAGCAAACGCTAGAAGTCACCAAGGTCACCGCAATGCTTAAAGCTACGCACTGCCAGGTCAATAAGATCTGCTAGGATCAGGGACCTTCCTACTTAACAAGCTCGAATCGCCGATCCACCGTGCCAAGATCCAATCGCCACCCCAGCAGAAGCCGTTTCACCAACCAACATCGTGATGATAGATAGCCCCTCCAGGGGGAGCTAGGGGAACTATATCAACAACCCTCGCCAACACGACCAAGAAGTCGATCAAGATATCCGAATACACATCAACAACCTCCGGGATGCATGACGCCGTATCGATGGGCGTCGTTTCTCTCGGCATGAGGACGAAGTACGCCGGCGTCAAGAATACAAACAAGAATTCGGTAATCCGGATGTAGCCCTCCAGCCACTTAACGCCGGCAATGCTGCCGGTCTCGACGGTGACAATCCTGAAGGGCCCCGAGCATTCACGAGAGCACTCCAAACACTTCAGTGGCCCCATGGTTTCAAAATCACTGGGGTGGAGCCCTACGAGGGGTGGATGAACCCCACAAAGCGGCTACAAGCTTATGCCACTGCTGTGCGTGCCGCCGGGGAGATACCAGTGTCATGGCGAACTGGCTCATGAGCCTCGCCCTAGATTCCATCAAATCTTGGGAACAGTTGAAGAAGGTCTTCACCAACAATTACATGGCTACATGTACTTGGCCGGGCACCAAGCATGATATGAATCGCATTTATCAAAAACCGTCCGAGCTCCTCCGTAGTTACATTAGACGATTTTTCGAGATGAGGAATTCTATTCCCAACATCACGGAAGCAGAAGTCATCACCGCCTTTGTCAGAGGACTCCATCATCGTGACCTTCGCTCCAAATTCAATCGTAAGCCACCAAAGGGGATTGGCGAGATGATCACGACCGACGATCAATACGCCGACGCTAAAGAGGCCAAAGTTCGCTTCAACGAAGATGCGGGCACTCACCGCCCAACTCGCCGTAGCGATGAGCGCCCCGACGAACGATGCCACAATGACGAGTGCCATAACTTGAGCTCCTTACATCCTTCTGGCAAGCCTTACTTGGGTAAGCCCGGGCTTGGCCGGACAGTTAAGCTGCTCGGTTATGGTCCACAACTGCTCGACGACTCATTAGGGTGGTTGGACTATGAGTCTGACTGCTCGGCTTTGTTTACACCTACTCGGATAAGCTCAAGACGGCGTTGCACAGCGGATACAAGGCGCTCGGGGACTAGCTATGGGGGGTACAACCTCGGATACCCATGACAGACTACATGGGCTGCGCCGCCAAGGGTGGTCCAGCCCATAAGACGAAGACTTACAGTGCACGGTACTGCTCGACGTGTACCGCAGGATATCAAGGGCGGTATCCTAAAGATGCTACGAGATCTGTTAGGATATGCTCGATCCCGTGATTCCTGTAATCTGTTATTACTTATCGGTTATCTTCTAGATCTAACTGACTTGTAACCCTACCCCTGGCTATATAAGGCGGGTAGGAACCCCCTCAAAACACACGCAATATCATACGATAGTCAATATAAACCAACAGACCACAGGAGTAGGGTATTACGTCGTGCGGACAGCTTGAACATATCTAACTCTTGTGTCTCTGTTGCATTCTTGTTCTTGATTACGCGCACCTCTACCGATCAATCTACCTTTATGGGATACCTCTCGGAGGATTGCCGACGATATTCTATCGACACCCTCTTCATCCAAAGAGGAATCATCATTACCAAATTGTATGTAGCATTTGCGCCGCACCACAAAGACCCCCTGTTCCCACCAAGTGCCAGGTGGACGATCAAGCACTAATGTCTTGTACCTTCTCTTCACAATTCTATCGATTCTGACCTTAGCATACCCTCTCGGTATTTAAGCTCCGTGTAGTAGCCACACTTCTTCGATAAGCCAGGCCTGGTCTAGCGTCACCTTGAAAAGGAAGTACTCTTAGGGCACGTACAGCTTGGTTTATGTCCTAAGCTAATAGGCAAGCTTTGGATTAGTAACCAAAAAAACATTTACTCTTTGGGGAGCACACCGTTCCTTTTCTAATTCTCGACCTGGCACAGAAGTACATAACTAGAGGATTCTGTGTCCAGTCTAGTGCAAAAGAGGACGGAGCGAAACTTTGAGAACTGGATGTTATAGGCTTATAGCTACCAAAGTTTTGCTGACATAGCGCTGCATGGGGAGAATGTTTTGCTTTTGGTGGTAAACCTGATCAGCGAGGCGACGACCTTTGAAGAAGCCAGAGAGTCAGGGAAATGGTTCAACCTGACATTCATCTGTGGGGAAAATGACCAAGTGGAAGAAGTTCTCTGCAACATGGAGCAGGACATTGGTGTGGCCAGGCAAGGTGATATGGTTTGGTTGGAATTGGATGTTCCAGTTCTTTTAGCTAAAGGAGAGCGTTGTGTGTGCTGGTTCAACGTGTGTTTTTGTTTTGACCAGTAGTTAAGTTTTTGTCCAGGGCCTTGTTTAGTTGTGAAAATTTTTAGAAAATGGTACTGTAGCACTTTCGTTGTTATTTGGTAATTAGTCCAATCATAGTCTAATTAGGTTTAAAAGATTCGTCTCGTGAATTTTGTCTAAACTGTGTAATTAGTTTTATTTTTTATTTATATTTAATGCTTTATGCATGCGTCCAAATATTCGATGTGACGGAAAATCTTGAAAAATTTTGCAAAATTTTAGAAACTAAACAGGCACTAGTTCTGCGTGTGTTTTTGTTTTGACCAGTTTTTGTCTGGTTCTGCGTGTGTTTTTGTTTTGACCGGTAGTCAAGTTTTTGCGAGGTAATGGTGTTTTCGTCCGGCCTGACTATCGGCGAACGATCATTTGATTCAAAACTAGCGATCCATAATCCGACAGCAAACAATTTCCTTTTTTTGGAAAAGCAGATGGCCGCACACACCGCGGAGGGCATGCGTCCACTCTTCTGCATACGCCCAACCCACTCACTCATCTCTTTTCTCTGGATGTGACGTCACCTTAGAAAAAAGGAAAATATTTATTTCAAATTGCTATAACTTTTGAACGACGTATTCAATTTTAATTTCGTCTGCACCGGTGTGTTCAACGCGACGAGACGAACAAAATTAGACCCCACTTATATATGTTTCGAAGATTATTTTTTAGTAGCAATTTATGTGTGCTAACTTATAACGTAAATCTTATATCATATAACTTATGCGAAAAACTTGGAAACACAAGAGTTATGAAATACAACTTATTTATGAAAAGTTATTAAACACAAAGAAACGAATTTAACTTATAACTTATGCCAAAACTTGCAAATATAAAGTTGTTAACACACAAAGGAATAAATTAACTTATAACTTATACCAAAACTTAGAAACACAAAAGTTATGAAACATAACTTATGTACAAAAGCTATCAAACATAACTTGTGTATATAAGTTATGCTATACAACTTGTGTAGATAAGTTATTCTATACAACTTGCTAATTAACTTGTAATTTATACCAAAACTTAAAAAAAGTCATTAAACACAACTTACGTACAAAAGTTATCGAACATAACTTATGTATATAAGTTATTCTATACAACTTGCTAACCCTGCCAAAAATAAATAAATAAAAGAAGGATTAAAAATATTAAAAGATGAAAAGAATACTAAAAATCACATAAAAGAAAAAATAAATAAAAATGAAAAGAAAAAACAAAAAAAGAACCGCTTGGGTGGACGCATGCAGGAGAAGTGGACAGGAGTGGGCGCATGCAGCAGGAGTGGGTGCATAGAATAAAGAAAAAAATAGGAAAAAAGCGCAATAGGAGTGGGCCAGGAGCGGGGGGATGCATGCAGTGCGGTGGAGACAGTGTTCGCTCCTTTTCAAAACGAGTGAACCCTCGTTGAATTGGAATTGGGGTTTTCGTCTGTTCAACGCTGTACTAACAAAATTCTAAAAAAATGCACACGGCCGACATCGGAGGAACAGAACCAGGCCTCGTTCACTTTGCAAAAAAATGAACCTGATGAATAGTACTATTTTCGTCTTATTTGATAAATATTGTCCAATCGTGGACCAACTAGGCTCAAAAGATTTATCTCGTGATTTCCAACTAAACTGTGTAATTAGTTATTTTTTTTATCTATACTTAATACTTCATGCAAGCGGCTAAAAATTGATGTGATGAAGAGAGAATGAAAAAACTTGGAATTTAAATGGCATCTAAACAAGGCGCTAGAGTCCTAGACATTGCTCCCACCAAATGTCTCTTCGCAAAAGAATCCATTTCTTGAAAGTCATTTTACACACAACGCAGGCACGCACGCAAACACTCAACAAGAACTACACTAACACCACTACTACGCGCACAATCAGACATGCACGTCTCCTGCGCACCCTAGAAAATAATTGGAAGCTAGGTTGCTGCTGTGGCTGTTTACTTCCTCATACATCATTGTAGTGATGAACTGGTAGCAGCCAGCAGCAGCGGAAAATACAAGCAGCCGAATAGGCTAAAGAACAGGCTGGTTCTTTGCTGATCGCAATTCAAACATCGCTCTGATGGTGTTACCAACATCCAGAGTTGAGACACCACATGGATTGGAGTGATGGATAAACACAGAGGCCCCTTCAATAGGCAATCAAGAAGGAAAACTTCTTCCTTATACAAAATACAAACCAAAAACAAAACTTCTTTACACGATCATGAGGCATATGACGCACCAAAACTATTGCTACTTCCACCTCTACTGGAAGTTGGCAACTGCACACTGCTTCATACACTTTTAAAGAAAGGTAACCTGCATAAGCTTTCTTTTACACCTTGATGAAACATCTCAAGATCCAACCAAGAATGATGGCATGTGCCGCTCCAGTGCCCGCACGAGGTCCTTCCCCTGGTTCTCCGTGCCAGCAGACTCACCGAGCCGGTGCACCGCCTCCAGCAGCTCCCCCCTCAGCCTTTGGGGCAGCAGCTGCCCACCTGCGCTCACGCACTCATGGTACAGTGGCAGGTACGTGATGCCGAGCACCATCTCAGACGGGAGGTCCTCCAGGCAGATCGGGGACGCGCCCCTCCTGAGGACCCTCATGACATTCACGAAGTGCATTTCACCGGTGCTCACCCCTTCAGCAAACGCACTCTGGGACCAGTGTTCTCTCAGGAAGGCAACCAGGTCCGGGGGCTCGCCGTTGGTGCCCCCGGTTGCAATGATGTCTGCAGCCTCGTATGTTGCAGCTGCGTCTCTTAGGAAGTTGGACCTCAGAAGGAAGGTGACACCATCAAGCGACCTGCTGCCCTGGCCCCTCGCAGCTTTGAGGATCTGTGTGCTGAGAGCTTCAAGGATTTGCTGGGGGATATGTGCAAGCAGGTACGAGGCCACCATGAAATGGCCGCTGGAGGTAGCAGTCGTCAGGGCAAGGCACATCTCAATTTCAGAGATGCCTCGGCTGACAAACCAGTGGACAACCTGCAAGCACCCACGCTCTGCAGCTTTTATCAGAGGACTAAGGAAAGAACTCACGTTCCCTTCATCAACTAGGCATTCCATTGTGTTGAACTTGCAGTAATGAGAGGCATACACTAGAGCCAGCTCAGTGTCCACAGCCAAGCTATTCTGATATGCAACCTGCATAAAGGGGGCAAAAAATACTGTTGCATTGTCATGCTGTTCTTTGTGAAATGTACTTTTCAAAGATATTTAAGGGGTCAATACAATAGTTGACATTTCTAGGATAATACGACAGATTTTCAGCAATTATTTACATCTAAACTGGAAGAAAAACCTCTATGCTCACGACCAAAGGTGTCTCTGCACCCAATCAACTCATAAGTCTCCTATCTAGGAAGCAGGGGTGAAATCTTAGTGGAGGCGAAACTGGGTTCTCCCCCTACCCCCACCGCCTTGCTCCGTGCACTGACCTCAGTACCTGCAGTTGTTAGATGCTGCTGCAGCTGGTCGGAGAAGACGAACAGGCATCCAAATAGTTCGCCGGCCCAAGCATTGAAGGGGGTATATAATGAATGGGCGAAGTGGGCTTTGTCGCTTATTCCTTTGCCTACAAGTGTACCTATGGTGCCCCAGAAACAAGCAGTCGGATAGCCAGGAAGCCTGCCATTGCTTTCTGTAGCAGTAGCAACCGCCCTCCCAACCACCACCCCTACTCCTGATTTGGTGCTGCACTCCGCCACTGCAGGAGAATATTTTCTATGATCATAGCCCAACCATGCCTAGGCTCCTTAAGATCCCATAGAGTATAAATGGAATAAGTATGTGATACGATTCTATATTTGTTACAGGTAACCTTAATTAGTCCTGCCCATCAAGCACAAAAGCTTCCAGCAATTGTCTACATCTATGGAGAAAGTTATGTTCTGCCAAATGACCACAATCTTGTATGGCATGGACAATTCATTTTTAGTTTTGCGCATGGTCATGCAAATGTCATAATTTTGCAGTGGCCTATAGCCAAACTCAACACTCCCTCCCTTTTCTAATTCTTTGGTACCAATATTTTTGGAATTTGGATAATAAAACATTAGGAGTGATCTATATCTTGACGAACACTGTACCAATATTGTTTTTATGTGATCGCATTGGTGTAATTAGAATCATATTCGAATAAAGAAATATTTAGATTTTTCTTGTATACAACTTTAATTTTTTTTAATTGGTCAATAAAACTTGTAGATTCCTTTTCAGGCCAAAATTGAGAAAGCAAAATCTCAAACTACACTTCAGCATCAACAACAACAACAACAAAGCCTTTAAGTCCCAAACAAGTTGGGGTAGGCTAGAGTTGAAACCCAGCAGAAGCAATCAAGGTTCAGGCACGTGAATAGCTGTTTTCCAAGCACTCCTATCTAAGGCTAAGTCTTTGGGTATATTCCATCCTTTCAAGTCTCCTTTTATTGCCTCTACCCAAGTCAATTTCGGTCTTCCTCTGCCTCTCTTCACGTTACTATCCTGGCTTAGGATTCCACTACGCACCGGTGCCTCTGAAGGTCTCCGTTGGACATGTCTAAACCATCTCAACCGGTGTTGGACAAGCTTTTCTTCAATTGGTGCTACCCCTAATCTATCACGTATATCATCACTCCGAACTCGATCCCTTCTTGTATGACCGCAAATCCAACGCAACATATGTATTTCCGCGGCACTTATCTGTTGAACATGTTGTCTTTTCGTACGCCAACATTCTGCACCATACAACATAGCAGGTCTAATCGCCGTCCTATAAAACTTGCCTTTTAGCTTAAAACACTTCAGCATCAACATTTTTCGCTAAACGAGGCCAACATTTCCTACTTTAAGGATTCTCGAGTCTAGATACATAGTTATTAAAGCTAAAGACTCAAAAGAGGAAGGGCAGACCCAGTGCCAGAGACTCCCACATGAGTGGGGTCTGGAGAAGGGAAAAACCGAGACAAGCCTTCCCCCTACAAATCTGCGGAGAGGCTGCTTCGAACCCAAGACCTGGTGACTCAATGAGACAGCTCTCACCACTGCACCAGACTTGGTGACTCAAAAGAGGAAGATGATAACAAAATATTGAGAAAAGATGGTTACACTATCATGAATATGGTTACTTCTGTGAAGAAGAGCAGTATTTCAGGCCAAATTTAGAATAACCGACGCAGCTAAAAATGTTCATAAAAAATCTACTTCAGTAACTCAGCATTTTAGTTTAACATGCACATAGGCCCAATCCATTTCTTGGGAACGCACAAAATCACCTCAGCTAGTTTATAAGTACTTTAAAGGCATGCTCTAAATTCTAGAATGTAAAAAGTTAGTTAAAAGCCCAAGTGCTCAAAGAGGAAGACAACATGCAAATGTTAGTTACTTATTACTAATAGCATAGTCAGCAAAGGCATATTGAGCTTCTTAAGGAGTGGGAATAAACCGAAAGATAACATTGGAACAGGGTAATCCAAAATTTTGAAGTTATTGTGTGTTTACTGTTTAGTTAGATGATCCTACCGAAGCCCAAAAAACCTAACCAAAGGACATGCAGAATTTTGGCCATCAGATTAGTTGCCAGTTGCCCTAACTTAACTATACTTTGGGAACCCGTTGTGTTGAACTATACTTTGGGAAGAAAATGAACTGTTGACTATGTGTTGGCTGAATGTAAAATTATGGATAAAAAACAAATATATGCCAAAGTACAGTCCAAAAGAAGAGGAGTAGAATCTAGAAGAGCCCCCGAAGTACCCCTAATCACTGCCCCACTTCTTTTCTGAAAGGCAAGCCTCGCAGCATTTTAAGTCTCACAGTGTTTCATGCTTGAGTCCTTTATGTTTCATGCTTTAGGTTATAAGAGTTGATTGGAAACACTTGATGCATGGAACTAACTTTTCTAGATACATATACCTTTAACCCTATGTAGGTCCAGGATCGAATATATGCTTAGCCATGCTTAGACCGGTAGAAGTCGGGTGATTTCCTGTCACCTGCGAGATATAGGCGGATACCGAAGCACGGTTGGCTATATTTGCTATCGTGGAAAAGAACCATGGGGTAATGTAAATGGAGGCCGGGCGGATTCTATGTGTAGGTTGACTCATGTGATTCCGTCTGTGCCGATTAAGGACCGTACCGTTGTCGGCACTTTTGACAAGATTGAACGCATGCCTATCACTTAGCTGGCCGGATAACTCGTTCCGACCATGAAGCCAAGTAGCTCAACTCAGGCCAGGCCTCGTTCTATTATGCGCCCTCTGCGGGGAGCGAATCAATAGACCATGGGCAAGCATGACCTGAGCGACCTGGTTCGAGACCGTGGGCAGGCATGGCTTGAGCGACCTGGCTACCGTCCGTCCCTGATTGTGCGGCGCTGTACGAACCCACGAAATGTGTACCTGAGTTGTACCAAAGGTGACCCGATGCGACCCCGATGGGGGGAGTGTGGGTTTGTGTTAGAAATAAATTTCTAGCTAGTTGAAATCGATTCGAATCGTCGTCTCTCCCGGATAGTGAGAAACTTGGCTAGCCCCAACATCGTAGTAATTGTATTATGGAAGTTGATGGTTTGGATAAATATGGAATTACTACACCTACTATGGTTACTATTGTATGCTCTAAAATGATATATCATATGTTTGGCATAGGATAGTTGCTAATCTGGAGATGAATAGCTATAATTAACTTGATGACCGAAGTATAATTGTATAATTGAGTTAATTGTGTTTTATGCAAAATGTTGTCAAGCTACCTCCACTTATAAAGCCTTGCATAATCCTTGGAGTCAATTTATTTCTGGTTTATGACGGGTAAGTCTAGCTGAGTACCTTCTTGTACTTAGGGTTTTATTCCCATTGTTGCAGATGGCACAGTGTATCATGGATATTGCAAGAATTGCTTCTATCCCGTCGTGGATGAGGAGTGAGCCTTGGGCAGGCATCTTTATAATCCTTCTATCATGCTTTTGTGGGTTGTGATCATGTGTTGGCACTATATTTGAACTATGTGACAAATGCTAGTTTTGAACTTAATTTGCTTCCGCTACTACTACTCTATCAAACTTGGTTTGGAATAACTTTATTTCGTACTCTGATGATGGAACTGTATCTGTGAACTTTATGTAGTATGTGACATGAATGTTGAATCATGTACGATCTTAGTTGTCTGTGGATCATTTATCGAGACCCATCATGGTACTCGATGGACTACCGGGTTTATATGGGTTCAAGTATGACAGTGTGACCGCTTACGGGCTACCATTGTACTTGTGCTCTTATAAATTGGTCGGTTCTATGACACCATCGTCCACCAAACTTGTTCAACCAGTTGAAGAGCCTAGGCTTGAGGCCTTATAGGACCATGCCATCTATGCGCTCGACCGCCTATTCGCGTGGTGGGGGTGCGCCATGGTGGCCCAATCGACGCGGATGTGGTATTCATCGCAAAATCGAAGGAACTTCTTTTCGGTGAACTGCATGCCGTTGTCCGTGATGATGGAGTTCGGGACCCCAAAGCGATGGACAATGTCAAGGAAGAATAGCACGGCTTGCTCAGACTTGATCGTAGAGACCGGTCGAGCCTCTATCCACTTTGTAAACTTGTCTACGGTGACAAGCAAGTGCGTATAGCCTCGGGCGCCCTATCGAGAGATCCGACCAGTTCGAGCCCCCAGACCATGAATGGGCAGATGATGCGGATCGTTTGGAGCACTTGGGCCAGCAGGTGGGTCTACCGAGCATAGTATTGACACCCTTCATAGGTGCGCACAATTTATTCAGCGTCGGCTACTATGGTCGGCCAGTAGAAGCCTTGTCGGAACGCGTTTCCGACTAGGGTCCTAGGCACGGCATGGTGCCCGTAGATTGTACCGTGGATATTACTCAGCAACTGCTTCCCTCGTTCAATGGGGATGCAACACTTCAGGATCCTGGTGTGGCTTCACCTATAGAGCTCACCCTCAATAAGGACAAAGGACTTGGCGCAACACGCGAGCCGCCGAGCCTCTGTTTTGTCCGTCGGCAGTGCCTCACGGAGGTGGTAGTTGAGGTAGGGCGTCCTCCAGTTAGCCAGAGGGTCGGGCTCTATCGCTGGATCCTCGTCAAGGTCCATGACTTCAGGGTCAGATGGAGCTGCTGGCAGGTGGCCCATCACCGGTTTGTTCT